TCCTTCGTTGCGCGGTGGTGCTCTGTCGGGTTCTTCCAGGGGCTCAGATGAAGACGGCCAACCCGCTCTCCAGCCAGAGTGCCCTGTGCCCGTCTCTGCTGGCGCTTTGGCTCAGTGCGAAGCCCTGCCTTCAGGACAGGGCGTGAACGTGCGGGCGCCCGTTCCCGCGGCAACCTCGCCGCTGCCTGCGGCATCCATGTTCTCGTGGCCGCTGACCGCCACCGTGGTGCTCTCAGCGGTTCATGCAGCGGCGCTGACTGTCCCAACCGCATGTGAGGTGGATGGGGCTCGGCTCGAGCGTGAATATCGAGCGGCTATCAAGCGTGTCGACCGCCTCCGTGCTGGTGGACTTCCTGTTCGAGAGGACCCTGCCCTTCCTGAACAGCTGTTGTGCCCTAACGCTGCCACCCCTCCGACGTCGACGCCGTCACCTGGAACTCCTGTTCTGAATCTTGCTGGCCATCCACACTCTGCCCCTCCAGTGCATGCACCACCAGCTGTCCTTGCCGAAGGTATTGCTTCAAGGGCTACGCGCTGGGTCTTGCGCCTGGATGACCCCGAGAGTGGCCGTGCTGACTGGTGGCTTTGGTGCATCCCGTACGTGCGCGCCAAATTAGATGCGTTGGACTGGGTGGATTCTTCTGGTTGGAGTGGCACACTCGACGAACTCGCTCGTCATATCTGCTCGATTGCCTGGGACACTTCTCGTGAAGGGCGCCTCAACTCTGTTGCTTACCTTCGGTGGCTGAATGAGCCTCGCCACGCCTTGACTCGGCACGAGCGGTGGGAGGAGGCGGCCGATCGACATTACCAGGCACTTCGTGAGATTCGCAGAGAGATGAGGCAATACATGGGACGAGCTGCGCCACAACGTGTACGCGACCTTCTTGTGGACAGCGATGGAGTCGAGGTCCTGCCCACGGTCACTGCCTGCGGAGCGGTCCGCTACCTTTCTCTACTGGTCTCAACAATGGAATCTGAAGATGGAGATGACGCCGATGGAGATGGGGACGTCGACCCTGCCTCTCTCCTTCTCCAGGTCTCTGCTGCAGGGTGCTCCTCGAGCCCTGCGGCCACTGGCGTTAGATCGCGGAGGTCGACCGCCTCTGTTGGAAATAACGGCTCTGGAGTAAGTTGCGAGCCTCTGTCTCGAGCTCGGAGGTCGACCGCCTCTGATGTAAATAAGGGCTCAGGAGTAAGTTGTGAGATCACGTCTCTTGCTGGCGTCAGTACGCAAAATCCTGTGGGTGGGTGCTCCTCGAGCCCGCCTGCCCAGGTTCCCCGAGTATATTGCGAGCCTGAAGTCTCTACTGGCTTAAATTGTGAGTACGGGTCTCGAGCTGGCTCTGGGCACGACCTCCTGTCAGATTCTCCGAGATCGACATTGTCTGTATCGGGTATTGCTTCAACTTCGGCGTCCTGTGCTCCAATGACCTTGTCAGGACCGGCTTCATGCTCTGCGGGGACTTTGAGAGCGGCCTCGCCGACTCCAGTGGCGCCGTCACCGTGTATTGCTCCCTGCTCACCGTCCTCGGCGGCATCGGGCTCACAGAGGGCGACACTTCCCTCAACGGCCTCTCCGACGGCAGGCACCCCAACTCGTGAGGGGCAAACTGGAAAAGGCCTATCGCCGTCGCCTCTTCTTCCCCCGTCCTTCGCTCCGTTGATGTGCTCTGCTCCTGCTGCTGCTTGCTCCCCTCCTGCTCCCCCTTCTACTGCAGTTGTGTTCCCGCACTCGCCCATCATCACTCCGTTGGCCACGATGTCGTGGGCACCCCGCTCTGATCCTGCGCCCGCCTGTCCCCCCTTGCTCATCGCCGCCGCTTCGCCGCCCAGCCGCCTACAATATAAATTTTCGGCTGCGTCCATCGACGTGCCGAACTTCGTGCCCTTGCCCGACGGGCAGGAGGCCCCCGCCCTTGCCGCCCAGCCGCTAGGCGCCGCGGGCGGGGCCGGGTTTGTCAGGTAGTATGCAGACAGGACGGCCCTCTCTACGCTCGTCTCCTCCTCCTCCTCCTCCTCCTCTTCCTCTACCTCCTCAGCAGCCTCCTCCTGGGACTCTTGTCCCCTCGGCAATGGCCTCTTCAGCACCCCTCCGACTCTACCTCCTCAGCAATGGCCTCCTCCTCATACTCCACCTCCTCAGCACTCCTCCTCCAGCCTCCCTCCAGCCCGCCAGCTAGCCTTTCGTCGTCCTCGGTCCTCTGCCTCCTCGGGCCAGTTCCTCTTCCGCCGCCCCTCCCCCTCCTCCTGCCTCGTGCCGGTCCGCTGGCCTTGCTTCCGGCGCCCTTGCTCCGCCTCCGCCTCTCCCTCGGGCAGGCTCCTTTTCGGGCGGCCCGCGCCGGCTTTCTGCCTCCAGGAACGCGGTTGGGGGAGTGGGGGGTGGGGAATCGCGCCTCGGTTTCTCGCCCTCCTCCTCCTCTGGGCCCCTCGTGGGGCCAGACAGCACCTGGCCGCGGTGGACCTCCCCCAGGGCGCGGTGACCACGCAAGAGGGCATGGCCGAGGCACTGGCGGCACACTGGAAGCCTGTCTTCGACCCGCCCAAGGGCGCAGCCTTCGAGCGGAGGAAGGCGAGGATGCAGCTGTACCTTGAGCGCTTCGCCACGCCGGCCCCCGAGTGGGACGCGCTCCCACCGCCTGGCCCTGAGGCTCTGCGCCAGGCGGTGGCCCGCGCCAGACCTGCGGCGCCTGGCCCTGACGGCCTACCTGCAGCAGCGTGGGGAGCGGCGAAGCAGCGAAGCAGGGAGTAGAAATCCTCTATCGTGCGTCGGTCTGGCTTCGCTCGGGATGCCCGATGAGGTCCGATTTCAACTGCGCCATTGGAGTGTTCATCCCGAAATCGCAGGCCCCGTCTGATGGCTCCCCCCACTCGTGTCCTCCGAGTGCGACCCGTCCTCTTTCTCTGAAATCAACGGGGCCTAAAGCGATTTCGAGCTCTTTCAATTTTAGTTTTGCCCGTGGTATCAAACAGACAGCTTCGGCCTCGCAGAGAGGCTTCGTCCGCGGGAGAAACTTTTTGTCAAACCTGGTCGAGCTCGATGCCTGGGCACGCATTGCAAGCATGCGCGCGATCGACCCCGAGGGACGCCCCCCAGCGTCATCGTCGCCCATGCTCCTTGCTTTCGATTATGGCCAGGCTTTTCCTTCCTTGGATCATGCCTGGATGTGGAGGACTCTTGAGGCCTGGAGGGCTCCTGTGGGTTTTCTCGAGGCGCTGCAGGGAGCTTATGTGAATGCCACCACGTTCAGTGCCTGCTCTGCTCGTGTCCCGCTGTATAACGTGCGAGGGGGAGTGATGCAAGGTGACCCTCCCTCTGGCAGCATGTTCGCTCTAGGAGTCGACCCTTTTGTTCGTGATCTAGACTCGGCCCTCTCGGGCGGTGATTGTGTGGGCAAGGGGCTCGCCATATGGTGTGCGGACGACTGTGGTGCTGTGACCTGGGGGGCCCCTGGCCGCAAAGCTCTGTGCCGCGTCTTCTCGGTCTCGGGAAAGATCGCGAACTTGCATCGTCGGCCCAGCAAATGCTTCTGCGTCCCTCTCTGGGCCCCGTTCTCGCCAGCCATCCAGAATCAAGCCCAGCTGCTCTTGCAGGAAACCTCGAGCGAGTGGCAGCAGTTCCAGGTCGTTTCGGAATTAGACTACCTGGGATGTGTCTTAGGCCCCTCCACCACGATGCACACTCAGTGGGCGCCTGCTGTGCAGAAGTACAGAGACCGCACGCGCGCGATTGCGAGCACGGGTGCAGATGCGGCAGCGTGTGGTGTTCTGTACAGAGAGAGGGCAGTGAGCGTCCTTCAGTAGAAGTCACAGCTCTTCGAACTTCCCAAAGCTGAGGTAGCGGATGAGCGGCGCCATCTCACTCGTCTCTTCCGAGCGCCTGGCTCGTGGCTCCCCCTTCGCTGCTTCTTCGACCTCCACTCCTCCGGTGGCCCCTCGCTCCCCCCGCTCCGTGCTGTCGCCCTCGCGGTCCGAATGCGAACCGCCCTCGAGACGACGACGGTCTGGAGATCGCTCTGTCCGAGGCTTCAAGCTGAGGCGGAGGAACACCTCCCGATGGTGCAGTGGGTCGGGCGAGGGAACGGGCACACCCCGTGGCCGAGCTTCTGGGTCGAGCCCCCGCTGGCCTGGAACCTCCGCAGCGCGGCGGAGGCCGCGGACGAGCTCGGCCCCCTCGCCTCCCCCGCCCGCGCGGGCCTTGCCCTCTTGCGTGATCGCCAGTCGGCCCAGCAGGAGGCCCTGGCAGCGGGCAGGCCCGCTCAGCCCGTCAAGACGCAGAAGTGCCTTTAGGCGGGCATTGCTCCTATCCTTTACCCCTCGGCCTCCTCTCTCATCCCTCTCATTGCCCAGCGTCTTCAGAGATGGTTCCAGGTCGGGGAGGACGTCTGTCGTACGGTGGGCTGGGACGGGGTGGTGGGCCTCTTGCTGCGTTCCCCCCCGTCCTGGAGAATGGCAGCCATCAAGATTTGGACGGGGGGGTGGGTCACGGACACCCGCATGCGTAACCCCGACCTGTCCTGTCTGATGGGATGCGAGTGCCCTGACTCCCTCGCTCGCTACGTGCGTTGCCCTGGATTCCTTTTCCTCGTCCGCTCCGTGTCTGGGTCCGAGGTGGACCCGTCCCTCCCCCGTCGGCTGGTCATCCTGGATCCCTCTCTCCTGCGGCTCCGACAACTCGTGATTCTCTTTCACCTCCACAGCCTCCTTCACCAAGCGAGGAGGCGCAGAGGGAACTGCTTCCCGTCCGCCGTTCAGGCGCGAGATTTTGCCAAAGCGGCTCAGATGGCGACGGACACCCCCATGGGAGGGTGGCGATCGATTGCCAGAGGTTTGAATGCTCGGCAGGCATAGGCGAGGCTGACGAACTCATTCCGACGCTGGGCCTCCTGACCATCATTTCATTCCTCTTCGTTCTCCTCCTGCCATGCCGTGCCCTGCTATGCCCGTGTCTTCTCCCCCTCCCTTGGTTTCCGCCTTTGCACTTTGCACCCTCCCCGCAGGAAGCTCGACGCTCTGCTGTGCCAGCTCCAGGGCGGCTCGCACCCGCCGATCGCGTACATGAGTCGAAGTGAAGCTGTCAAGGTGGCGCTTGTTTTCGATCCGCTTACCCAAGCTGCTCTCCTCTCTCCGCAGTTACACATTATGAGTGCTACTCTCCTCTCTCCCCTGACTCCGTCTGGAAGATGTCCCGCCCTCTTCGCGTATAGTATGTTTGCGCAGAGGACTGGACAAAAGGTGATCAGTGCTATGTTTTTAGTTCATGTCGATTGTCTTCGGTATTTCAAAATGGCGCTCCCGCTGCAGCGTGGGCCTCATTTTCGGATCGGCGCTGTGGCTCCCGTTGGTCAGAATGGCGCCCTCGCCCCAGCGCGGGCACCTTTGCAGGATCAGACTCCTTCCTTGTCGTTGTCGCTTCCTTCCCTTCCCCTCCTGCGCCTTCGCCTGGTCCTCCTGCTCCTCCCGCTCTTTCCGTTCTGTTTCCCGCTGCTGCTGTTCGTCCTCGTCCTCATCCTCCTCCCTCATCCTCCTTTCCCTCCTGCTCAGCTCCACCTTCCCGATTGCGCATAAGACGACGGGGTCCGCTAAGACACGCGTCCGCGCATACATAACAAATCGGCGCAATGAGAAGGGATAGGTGCGATGGCGAAGACGTCAGGGCGGCGACCAGGAAGTCGCAAGAACCAGCGCGTGGGGGATCTGGGGTCTCGTGGGCGGCGACCAGCAATTCGCAACACCTAGAACCGATCCTTGTCTCGGCATGTGGGCACTCATGAGTGTAAGCACCGTTTGGTGGCATATCGTCAACCTCACTTGCTTCTTCTGAGCACCCAATTTGTTCAGACAGGAAAAGCATACGTCGACTTCTCAGGAAATATGGGAAATCATGGGAAGTGGAGGGGATGACGACATTCCACAGAAAATATTGAAAATATGGGCAATCCTAAGACTCGTGTCTGTTCGTTTGTCTGTCCGTGGGCCCCTTCAATGATACCTGCCCTTGTCGTCCTTCCTCTTGTGCGTGCGGAGGGGCGCGGCTCTCCGCCGCCCTCCTGGTCTGCCGCGGCCTGGTGAGGTGCAGGCTTGGGGGCCACAGAGGGCTTCCCGGGAGCTTCCCGGGACCCGCGTGGCGGCGCGGCATCCCGTACGACTTCAGAACTGCTGGGTGGTGGAGCCACTCTCTTCGTCTGTGCCGGCTGCCTTTTGGGAGGGGGGCAGCCCTGGATCTTTTGGGCGGACTTTGTGTCGTCATTCCTTTCTTCGCGAGCACTCGAGTCTTGTGACGCACCTCCCAGGAATCCTCTTCTTCCCGTCTTCTCCGATCCATCCTGCTCCTCCTCCCCGCTGCCCCCTTCCCCAGTGTCCCTCTCGTCATCCGCGCCGTCGTTGCTGTCCCTCTGCTCCTCGCGGTACCTTCCCTCTTTCTCCTGCGCGCTCCTCCCCTTCCTCCTGCCCGTCCGCCGCCTCCTCTAATTGTCGTCGTCGTCGTCGTCGAAGTCATCCTCCTCCTTCTCCTCCAGCGTTTTCTTCTTGTCCCTCTTCCCCGTATGATCCTCCTCCGCGTTGGTTGGCCACACTCGTCAGGTCGCAGCACTTCCAGGGGACGAGAGACAACCGGACTACGACGATTCGCCCTGGTTGCGCTCTCCAGGCAGCGCCTGCTTCAGCAGGGACAGGGAGAGGTGAAGGGAAGGAAAGGTTCGGGAAGGGAAGGGAAGGGAATGGGCGAGGGCGGGAGGGAACGAGGAACGAAGGGGAGGGAGTGAGCGGTGGAGGGGGGAAATACGGATGGGAGGGAGGGAGACATCACGACTGGCTGTTGTAGCGCAGTATGTATGCATGCCTCGAATGCAAAGTTGTCGAGCGATTGTGAGTTCCCTGGTTCAACTTACGCTTGAGATTGCGCCAGGGTGGTAGTCCTTCCCTTCTGCCATTGGGGGCCGACAATAAGATGATCAATGTCAGCGCGAGTGGCATTTCAAAGTACGGGCGCGGTCCCTTCATGGGATTTTCGGGTTTACCAGCAGCCGTGGTTTCAGCAGCAGCCCACTCGAAATATCAATTAGGGGCGGCCAGGAGTGTTGTGGAATCGTGGCGCTACTCCATATTTAGGAACTCGTTGGGCCTGTGTTACGTTGGGTCTTCGTGTTCTTCGGGGTGCTTGCGTCTCCATGCAATCAGAGCTATAATCACTGCATGTGCGATACAGTGCGATGTCTTGTGGGTGTGCTTACAGTTTGATAGTGCTGGCCGTTATCATAAATCGGCCTTCAGCTCAGCTGACATGACACCCACCCCCCGCCAGGCGATGTTGCTGCAGTGCTTGCTCGTGTTGCCGCACGGATTGATGCTCTAGACCAGTTGTTGGTCAGTTGTTGCTTCTTTCTTGAGCCTATAGTGTGTACTTGTGTAAATACTTGCATGTTCGGCGGGCTATATTCGACGACGTATCCATCCGACCGTCTGCCCTTTGGGTTGTCGCAGCTGTCAGTCAAAGTGGTCATGCTCGGCGACGGCGGTTTATATTTCATCACGCTTCGCGCATCCCCACCAGCCCGTTCAGAAACCTTGTCCATGAGAGTTAACGGGAACAGGGGCACATGGAAAGACACATGTAATGAAACTCAGCGAACAGACAGGATGAAAAGAGAGACTTTTGGGAGCAGTGGGGGTGGCCTCGGATGGCCTCTTCGGGCCATCCCTGCGGCCCGCAGGAGGAGGAGGAGGAGGAGGAGGAGGAGGAGGAGGAGGAGGAGGCACACCGCCTCTTGGGGCCCTCGTGGGACGCTCTTGGGGCGCTCTTGGGGCAGTCTTGGGGCCCTCTTGGAGCCCTCTTCGGAGCCTCTTGTTGGGGTCACCTTGGAGGTCATCGATCAAAAGGGGGGGTCCTTCATCTAGGCCCCCCCCCGCACGAGCCCTCGATACCCTCATTTGGGGCTCTTGGGGCGCTCCTGGACGCTCATGGGGCCGTCTGGGGGGCCTCTTGGGCTCTTCCTGGGGCTCTCTTGGGCCATCCTGGGGCGATCTCGAGGCCCCCAAAGCGCATCAGAAGCGAAAAGGCGAGACGGCAACAATCGTTCATGTTCCTCAGGTGGTTGAAGGAGTTGGGCCCCTTGAGAGGTCCTGATGAGGGCTCCGGGAGCACTTGGAACCGTCTTGTGACCCTCGTCGGGCCTCTTGGAGGTATGTCGGGTGCTATTTTTGAACATTTCTCGGCTGCCTTGAGCCGCCTTCGGGGTCATTTCGATTCGAATCTGCTTCCAGGATGGTGCAGGAGGACGCCCACATGCCGCCAAGGCGGCACTGGATTGCCCAAGTCGCTTCGAGATCAGCCTAGGACGGCGAGGAGACCTCAATATGGTTCGAGAGAGGCTCCCAGGCGCCCCGAGCAAGGCCCCGGGCATCCCAAGTATGTAAAACATGTGTTGTGTGCCTCCTTCGTGCAGTTTCCGAAACGCTTCAGGAAGTCCCAAGGTGGCCCCACGACGCCCGAAGAAAGCCCGCCCAGAGACAGCACCACAGCGCGCCATTAGGACCCAAAGGCGGCACCAGAGAGCCCCAAGAGAGCGTCAAGACTGCCTAAGAAGGCCCCCACAACCCCAAGACGCGCCAAGGCGGCCCAAGATCTCGTGAACTCCCACAGGCCCGCTAACAGACCCATGGAGGGCGAGTCCCAAGACAGCCCCCTGACGCTCGAAGAAAAGGTACAATGGAACCCTGCATCCCACGACTGCCCACATCAGTTTCAATATCCACCCACACCGTTCTGGTACAGTGTGAAGGTCCGTCTTGACGGCCCCCTTACACTCGAGTGTAGCCCCAAAGGGCCCGCGGGACTTCCATCATCGTCGTCGTTCCTCCCGCCTGAACAGGAGCACGCATCCTTGAGGCATGGATGGGCTGCTGTTCTCTCCTTCCAGTCCCTCCTCCTCGCTACTTTCTGTCTCGGTGGAAGCACGTCCATAGTGCGAGGACGGGATGAGAAAACATAGCGGGCAGAGGAGGAAGAGGAGGTGGACGAGGAAGAGAGACAAAAGCGGTTCACTTTCTGTTTCCTTCCCCAAGCACCAGCGCCAACTCGCACACCCCTTGGAAATCCCGTTGAACGCAGCTGCTCCCAGGCAGTTCCGAGAGCCTTTCTGACGCTCGCTCTCTCGCATCCTCCCCCTCCTCCCTCCTCCACGCCTTTGGTACCATGTTCAACGCAAACCAATGCGGTGTTACGCATGTCGGGGCCTCCTCTCTCTACATATATTTCTTATATTCCTCTTCCTATGTTTCCTTACCTAGGCTCTGCCTAGAAGGGTTCTTACTTTATAAGCTTAAAGGGGCCAGGCAATGGAACACGCCCCGGGCGGTTTCCCCAGGATCCGCCCCGCGGTTCCCCCAGTCCGCTGGGAGCTTTAGCTTTAGCTTTAGCTTTAGCTTCGCTTTAGCTTAGCTTTAGCTTCGCTTTAGCTTAGGTTTAGCTTAGCTTTAGCTTAGCTTTAGCTTAGCTTTAGCTTAGCTTTAGCTTAGCTTTAGCTTAGCTTTAGCTTAGCTTTAGCTTAGCTTTAGCTTAGCTTTTAGCTTAGCTTTAGCTTAGCTTTTAGCTTAGCTTTAGCTTAGCTTTAGCTTAGCTTTAGCTTAGCTTTAGCTTAGCTTTAGCTTAGCTTTAGCTTAGCTAGCTTAGCTTTGCTTAGCTTAGCTTAGCTTTAGCTTAGCTTTAGCTTAGCTTAGCAGCTTAGCTTAGCTTTAGCTTAGCTTCAGCTTAGCTTCAGCTTAGCTTCAGCTTAGCTTTAGCTTCGCTTTAGCTTAGCTGCTGTACCGTAGCTTTACCTTAGCTGGCAGCCGGGTTGCGATGACATGTTGGCGCCATCACACGCATGGCACAATCATGGCCCTCCTCCCGCATCGTCTCGTGTATCCCTGTGAGCTTCCGTGCTACTTCCCTGATTCAATCCCTTGCTAATTTCTATGCCAGCTTCCAATCGTACTTTTCCCAGTAACTCTCCTGTTTCGAGCTACAGTTTGAAATTAATGGGCCGCCCCCGCCCTGCAGACAAGCCGTGGGGCTCAGGCGAGCACCCGTTGCCAGGAGAGCGATTGCATGTTTCCTCTCCTCGCCCTCTTCTTCCCTCCTCCCCTCTCTCCTGTTCTTCCGCCCCTCCTAGTGGTGTCGGGGCGAAGCGCTCGGCAACCGGGGGCGGCTACCGCGCCAGAGCCCTGGCGCCGTCCCGTCCGCGCCGGCCGCGCGTTGCTGCCCGTCTGCCGCACCAGGCCTCTTGTTTTGGTGCGGCAGCCACGTTTTAGTCTCAGTTCGCCATTTCGTCTTCGTTAGTCACCGCCTCCATGGTCGTGCACTGTCGGTCTCACGGCGTTGTGATCTCACGCTATTCGTTGGCGCGTGCCTTCGCCTTTGAGCTTTCTTTGTTACCTCACTTCTTCACCCCAGCTCTTCCGCACATTGTACTCTGCTCCCCGACGTGTGGCTGAGGAAGTGTGGCCGTGGCGAGCTTCGGCTTTCGCCCGCCCTGCCCGCCCTGCCGGTGCAGCCTGCGTTGTGTCTGCTGCTCCCAGCGTGTCCGGCTGTGCTTGTACAGCTCGTGTCTCGTGCCAGTCGCTTTCGCAGGGTGGCCGCATTAGGCATCTCGCTTATCTTCCCTCCCTCCTTCCGTTTTTGGTTTTCTCCTCCTCTTTGCTTTTGTCCTCCTCGTTTTAGTATATGTGTTTTTTTTTTTTGCTCTGGTTGCATCCCGTCCCCACGCACGGCTTTAGCTTGAAACGGGGGGCTGTGCGCGACGGGGTCGATGCACGTGTAAAGGCGTGCGCCCGTGGAGCAATTGTATCACATTGCCTGATTCGAGCTCTGCGCGTTTCACTCTGACGCTGGGTGGTTGGATTGTCAGGTGGTTGCGTTCTCCTCTTCTTCTTCTTCTTCAAAAAAAAACGTAGCTTTACCTTAGCGTTAGCTTAGCTTCAACTTAGCTTCAGCTTAGCTTTCGCTTAGCGTTAGAATAGCTTCAGCTTAGCTTCAGCTTAGCTTCAGCTTAGCTTCAGCTTAGCTTTCAGCGTAGCTTTAGCTTAGCTTTAGCTTAGCTTTAGCTTAACTTTCGCTTAGCTTTAGCTTAGCTTTAGCTTAGCATTAACTTTGCTTCAGCTTAGCTTTAGCTTAGCTTTGACTTAGTTTTAGCTTAGCTTTAGCTTAGCTTTAGCTTAGCTTTACTGTTACTACCAATGCTGCTTTCCTAGGGGCTCCAACTCCTAGGTAGGGTCGCACTGGGATAATTTGCAAGCCTGGGGGGGGGGGAACCCTCACCCCCCCAACAAAAAAACTGGACCCCCGGGATCTGGGGTTCTCGGGCTCCCTTTGACGTCCTTGGAAAAGGTCACCCGGCTTTCCGGGTCTCCACAAACGCCTTGCCAGCAGACCCAGAGCGATCCGAGGGGTCATCAGAAAGGCTCAAGGGAGGCCCCAGACAGCACAAGAGCGCTCCAAGGGGGACTCCAATTGCGTCAGGACGGCCCCTAAAGACCCCCAAGGCACCCCAAAAAGCTTTCCAAGGGGCCTTCAAAGCACAAACATCGTCCAATTCCCTTCGGAAAACTTACAATTTTCGCATATTCGCCTTTCGGATTTCATCAGCTTTCAAGACGGTTTCAAAGCCCCCGAGATCGCCTCCAGACGCCCCAAAAGGCCCCCAAGAAAGCTCACGAGAGCCCCAAGACAGCCCATAATGGAACCAAGAGGCCCCCCAAGGGCTCCCTGCACAGACCCAAAAGGGCCATGGGAGGTCCCCGGAAGTGCCCAAGATGGGTCCAAATGGGGCTCCAGCGGGCTCAAGCTCCCCAAAACGGCCCAAGAAGGCCCCAGGACGGCCCATGAAGGCGCCAAAACGGCCCACGAGGGCTCCGAAAACACCCCCACGATGTTTCTGAATACCAACATAAAGACCCCTAAGGCACCCCAAAAAGCTTTCAAAACACAAGAATCGTCCCATTCTCTCTCTTTGTAAAACTTACAATTTTAGCAGATTCGCCTTTCGGATTTCATCAGCTTTCAAGACGGTTTCAAAGCCCCCGAGATCGCCTCAAGACGCCCCACAAGGCCCCCAAGCAAGCTTCAAGACGGCCGAGCCGGGCCCCACGATCGCCCACGAGAGCTCCAAGACAGCCCATAATGGAAACAAGAGGTCGCGTCCCGCCCCCGCCAAGTAACAAAACCAGGGCCTCGACAAATCTGTTTTGCATTATTTTGACACATTGATTGGTTGAAACAAATTGCGGTCGTCGCCGCGCGCTTGCCCTGATTTAGCAATGTCGGTCGACGGACGCACGCGAAACGCGCGAGTTTCCTTATCATAATTGTTTCTGCCGTGTGCCGCGTT